AAAGTTGTACAAACTGTAACAATATGTTCGAATAAACAGACTTGAGGCATGACCTCACCTTAACTTCAAAAAAAAAAAAAAAAAAAATTATCTGCGATTACTCCATACATATATCTAACAAATGCCTATTTTGGCTCATCTGGATGAAATCTACAAATTATCAAATTATCACACTTAATATATCAGGATTCTTCTTTTTTACCTTTGTATATATTTTCAGCTTTATCTCCCAGAACAAGATTTCCAATTATATTTGTCTTACCTTTACTACTCATATTAGTAAATACTTTACTGAAAGGCCATAACATTGCTGGATGTCCAACATTTTGAATTGATTCATGTTTATTAGCTTCATCTATATCCATAAGATAAAGTTTCATAGATGGTAGAATGAAACTCATTTTCTTTAAAAATAAGCTCGATGAGCCATAATCCTTGGTTCACCCTTTGGGCTTGTTTTGCAATAGTTCTTTCTTTTGATTTTTTTGTATATCAGATGAGTTGGGAACTCAAAGCACTGCTTTCTGGGAATCCATATCTATAATTTCTATAAACTGGATAAAAAATTTCTTTCTTTCGATAATTTACTTCACTTTGTTTATTCATGGTCAGTTTAGGCACATTAGTGCCCTCACTCTGTGAGTATATTCCAGAAAACAAATTGTCGAAGGCAGTCATACAGTGGCTATAATCTGGCTTCGAGTTTAAAGAACAAGAAGGTGAAAGTAGGTGAAAAATATTCCTATATATATACCAAATAATTAATATTACTATTATTACAATAATGACAATTTTAATAAAAGGAAAAATCTGATACTTATCATAACTAAAGCCTTGCCAGCACATACTGTTTCTTTTATTGTAATATCTTGAATTAATAACTCCGGATTTTGCTTATTTGTAATATCTTGAATCAATAATTCTGAATTCTGATTATTTGTAATAATTGATAATGGTTTACTTTTAAAATATTTTGCAAAACTTTTATGACTCGAAGAGTTGCCCTTAAAGAGCCTGCAAAGCAATGATCCTTCGGGTCTAGATTTAGATGTATCTCTAAAATTCGATATGAAACTTTGTTCCTTGCTTTGCATATTTTTTTTTTCACCTCCCTTAACTATTGCAGAGCAATAAGTCTTTGACCTTACAGAATCTAATATATCCTTTGTTTTCTGTAAAACAGAGCGCAAAGCACCTAAACACTCAATTTCATTAATTTTTAAGGCTAATTCATTCTTTATATTCACTAATTCTTTCTTTGTATTTGTTAATTCAGACTTGAAAGATATAATCTCGAATTCTTTTTTTAGTATCTCTTTCTGAGTTGAGAATGTATCTTTTTAAGCCGATTCTAACTTACTTTCTAATATTTTTTTCATAGACCATGGTGCTGTAATTTTCTTTAATTCATTCTAAGTTGAAGATAGTTTTATTTTCAATATTTTTATCTTAGACTGAAGATCTTTTATCTTAATTTAAAATTTATTAAAAGAAATATCTTTGCAAGTACTTTGAGATATTAAACTATCTAACTCTGAGCTCAATCACTTAACCTCATTTATAAGCTGATAGGTATGTTTAGAGAGTTTCTCTTTATCATTATTAGATTGTTTTAGATCATGTTGTATATGCTTATTGTCTTTTTTAAGACAGAACATTTATTGGCAAGTCAATTACCACACTTTATAGCAATTTCTTGATCTCGATTTGCACAAGCAAGCTGATTTTCAAGTTCTATTCGACTAGGCGAATATTGACTAGATGGTATATCACCTAATTTACTGCCTTTACCTATATTTGACAATGTATAAATTCGAGGCATATGTGTTTTAACACTAGCTTTATTGCTATATCACTGAAATAAATATAAAAAATAAATATAATGTATTAAATAGAATATACATATTTATTAATATGATAATTTTAATATATTAGATAGAATATATGTATTAATTAAATAATATAATCCTATATATTTGATGTATTCTATTTTTCTGATATATTTTATAATTTTTATTTTTTCGATATATTTTATTAGATAAAAAACAAAGTAATTACACTTATTAGTATGGTTAGAGTATGTATAAAATCTGATGCACCTTTATTTTTAGTTGAAGATTATTCATATATAATGCAATATCATAATATAAAGCCAAGATACAAAATTTTAAAGGAATTATTAGATAAATATAAAACATCGTCAAAACAGATTTATCAGATCTGGAGAGAAGAAGAAGATAATAGAGTCACTTAGGATCAACCTATACCTTAATCATATAAAATAAATAATATATCTAGCCACAAAGTATCAGGCTTCAGCAATAATTCATCTAATATAAATAGCTATAAAGCTAGCCTCTCAACTAGTGTAAACTACTCTGAAGTTTTACCAGATAAATCAGCAGAGATAGGACAACCAAAAATTCAAAGTTCTACTTCCTCATGTGCAGTAAAAAAAAGTGCCTCTTCCATAGACAATACATCTAAGAGAAAGGCCAATCTTGAAAAATTAATGAAAGATACTGAAAGATTAGCTCTTATACTTCCATCTTTGTCTCAGTAAGCTGAGAACATCTTTTAGCAAGAACTTTATTTGCTTTTAAAGCCATATCAAGCCATTCTTCAGTTATCATGACTCATTTTTCAAGTTCATCACATTTTTTTTTAAGTCTTCCTTACTAGTCAAGCTAAATGAGATGGTAGATACTTGGACCAGATCTTTAAATGCGATAGCATCCTTACTTCATGAGACTTCTGGAGTCTTGCTAAAAGTTAAGATAATAAAAGACCTACTATGTAATTTTATTCGAAATTGGTTTTTATTTGGATCAAGAATATCTTGAACTTTTCGAATCTATGTTATACCTAAACATAACATTGGTTCAGGTTCACCATTATCAATATGTGTAAAATTTCCAGTAGCTGTAACAGTTTTATCATCCTTATTCTTTATACTGACTGGCACATCTGTAAACCATTCCAACAATTCAGTGATATGTTTAGAGTTACCTTTTATATTGAAGTCAGATGGCTTGTTAGCTTTCTATCTGAGGGCATTAATTGTTGCATCATTCAAGGCTCCAAATTCATTTCTATTATCTAAAAATAATTCAGAAATAGATAAATCATTTATACTAGTATTACAGTACCATGGCCTTCTTAACAGCAGTACTATAACAATGACATAGCTACAGAAATCCTTTATAGGTTTATAGTGGTGTCCAAGAGGTAAGTATAATTTCTTAGTCTGTAAGAAACTATATCCTTCTCTCTAAGGCAGTTCGGTAAAACAAGAGATAATAGTTTATACTTTAAACA